TTCAACAAACCAGGATCCATTCTAGAAGTAGGAGGCATGGTCTCTGGGGGGAAAGGACCAACAAACCTAAGTCCAAGAGCAGTGATCCTTCAGTTCATTCATTCAGTTACTCACTCTCTCATTCGTTCAGCAACCGCGTGAGAGCCCGTGGGCATAAATAAGACAGCCCAAGTCCCTGTCCTTGTGGAGTTTACATTCTGACCACGCTGCCAAGGGACACGCTGGACAAGTGTTTTCACTGGTGGAATAGAAAATGGTAGTGTTTGCCTGACTTACAGGAGAAAAATAGGTTAATGGGCAAAGTGGTCCCAAATTTAAGGCTTTTTTCTCTCCCATTCCATTTTCTTAAACCAATAATAGCCACTCCTGATAGCCTGCTGGATCAGCAAACAAGCAAGCGGAACAAACTCATATGATCCGTAAGGAAATGACCAATCTTGCTTCTTTCAACAGCTTATTTATTTAAGGGTTGCAAATTAATAATGTCATAGATAATGTAATCCTCAGCAAGTTGTATACTCTGGAATTCCATATATCCATAGACCGTGGTGTCTCTAAAGCACATCAGCCGTCCATGTGCTCCCCTACCCGAGTGAGCCTGAGAGCCGCTGACCAGAAAACAAGTTCACTTTGCCACCAGTGCCCGAGGTGGAGGGTGCTCAGGAGGGGACATGTGCTGAGCCATCGAGGACATGTCATGGGTCAGGCCGACTTTGACAGAAGCCCTACAGGAGTAAACTGTCAGAAAACAGAAGGAAGCGATGAATGTCTCGGTGGAAGGAGGAGCAGGAGCAGACTGAGAGCCATACAAGAACCAGGGGTGAGACTGTCTGTGTAGAGCTGGGGCTTGCCCAGGACTAGCAGTGGGAAGCCCACTTAGCTAGTTACACTGGCTCTGAAAGCCTGAGGAGAGGTGGTCCAGACTTGGAAGTCATGGGGAGCCCGTGAAGGTTCTTGAGCAGGGGAATGACCAGATGAAAGCTCTGTCCAGCAGCAGTGGGCAGGCTTGGCTGGAGGAAGGATCCGTGGCAGGCAGGGACGCTGTTCATAGCTCAGTGGGTTCATTCACTTAAACCAATAAGAGACAATAAACTAAGGAAACCCCTCCCTTCACAGTGCTGTTCTCCCTGAGAGCACCAGAGGGAGGGGACATCGCAGGCCCTGGACACAGGAGGCTCAGCGAGGGGCTCCCAATAAGCCATTCACCTCTGAGAAAACAAGCCAGCCTCTTGTCCCCAGAGGCAGGTGCTCAATAAATAATCATGCATGAGTGAATGCAGGCCTGTCACCATGTCCACGGCGACAGGAAAAAGGACAGTTCTGAATGCTGATGGCTGGAACTTAAAAGCACTATCTGCTAACATGTTGAAAACCTACTTTATACCAGGTCCTGACAGCAGCCACGCCAGCCCGGGTCGTAGGGCCTGCGCTCTGTGTCCGAGGTTTAAATCTTGCCTCTGGAGGAACACAGGTCCCTGTGCCTCCCTATCAGCGATCCTGTGATACCAGCACTGCTGGGCAGCAGGTGCCAGGCAGGTGCCAGACTGTCCGGGCAGGTGCCAGACTCTGGTTTTGAAGAGCTGAGGAAAGAGATGGAGTCGGACATAACCAGCCGTCAGGATTCGAGCAGTGAAATGCGACCTGTAAGAAAGGCGGGCGGGCTCAGGAGAGCAAGCGAAGGGCAGCTCACCTATCCAGCCAGCAAATATTCGCTGGGGGCCTGCTGCAGACCAGGCGCTGTTCTGGGCACCAGGGTCTCAGCAGCGAGCAAAGCAGACAAAAATCCCGTCTTCACAAGTCTTCCTGTCAGGCAGGGATGGGAGGGTACAGAAAAGACACAAAGGAGGTGAAATACAGGGTACGTTAGAGGTGGTAAGGGCTTTGGGGGGGAAACAGGACAGGGGATAGGAAATGTCGGAAGATTGCCTCTTAAATAGGGAGGGAGGCCAAGGAAGGCCTCACAAAGAAGGTGACATTTGAAGAACAACCTGAAAGAAGTGAGGAGCGAGCCATGCGGAGGTGAAGAGGAGGAGACCCACCTACTGCGCGCTAGGGGTGCTCACGGTTCCACACTCCTGCCCTAGTCTCCCTGGAAGAGTCCCCGCTGCCTCTCCAGCCCACTCTCCACCGGGGGGGGCACAGGAGAGCCTGTTTCTGGTCCTTCCTGGGAATTTAACTTTGCAAAACCTTACCCATGTGTCATCTCCTTGGATAACGACCTCTCCTTTAAGCACCGATAGGCTCCTGCCTGGTCTCCCGAGCCCCAGACTCTTTTGTTTCCGTTCATCTCCTCACTGCTGAAGGATGCATCTTGCTCAATACTAACCTGATCATGAATCTCTGAGGCTCAATGCTCTCCATGGCTCCTCACCACCTTCAGGATAAAATCCAAACCCCTAGCATTGCCTTCAAGACATTCCACCGACTGCCAGTCCTGCCTCCACAACACGCTTTCACCCCCCACATCCCGGCCCACCAGGAGCTCAGCGTCCCCACCCCAGGCCTCCGTCAGCTGGCCCAGTGCCTGCCTGTCCCATCTCCACCTACAGAGGCCCATTTAAGTGCTTTGATGGTGTCCAGGGCGGCACTGGCAATGGTCTTTCTGTTTGCCTCTCCCCCAAATTGTAATCTCCTTAAAGACCAGGACCATTCTAGAGAAGTGCTGCTTGTTTAACTAATCGGAGAGCCATTTGTTCTCGAGTATTTATTAAGCCTCAATGGGGCACAAACCGCAACGGAGGCCCCTTCCCTCCTCGAACTTCTAGTTAAACCGAAAGATAAGTGAGGAACAGGGTGGATGATAGTGAAATGCATGCGCCGTGCCCCCAGTTGAGCCAGGTTCACACTGGACAGGGCGAAACATCCTAGAACATCCTAAGGTGAGCGGAGGGCCACGGTCTGTGAAAGGATAAGTCTGGGAAGCTAAAAGAGGCAGGATGACCAGGTGCTGAGGAAGCTGAGCTTATTCTGAAGGAGTAACCCCCCTCCCCATGCTAACAAAACTCTCCCCAAAGCACTTCTGCAGCTCAGCACCACGGCCAGGGTGGGAGACCGTGGGCCTTGGCAGGGGGGTCTTCATGTCTGACCGCAGGCCCTACCTTCCACTTCACAGATGCCACCCCCCCGCGCAAACCCCGAACTCCCAGGGACACCTTCAAAAAAGTGGGGATCCCCATCATCGCAGCATTGCTGAGCCTGGCAACCATTGTCATCGTGGCTGTCCTCAGTAAGTGGCAGCCTCCACCCCCACCCTCACCCTCATAACTGCCCCACCTCCACCCTCACCTCCTCAGTAAGTGGCAGCTCCCACTCACCCCTCCCCCGCCCTCACCTCCTGGCAACACCCTCACCTTCCACCCTTCCACCCCATCAGGGTCATGGGCAGGTGTCCTGCTAATGCTTTGTGGCACATGTGCCCACCCCTGCTTTGAAGGGAGCCCTCTAAGCGAGAAAGGAGATGAGCTCAGCGCCATCTAACCCAGACGGCCTCTCTGCCACGTGATTTCTTCTGCTGGGAGAGCACATTACAAAGCCACGCAGGCCACCGGCCTGGGCAGGCATGCCCCCTGCCTCCTCTGCCCCGTGTCTGCAGATGGAGCTGAGCGATCAGAGCAGCCTGCTGGCTGGAAGAGCAGGGAGCATCTGCTCAGGAGGAGGGACACAGAGAGGAGGCATCAGGGAGGACCACCCAGGCAGATAGCACCCTCCTTTAGCTCCATCTTCATCATGGCCAGTGTCTGAAACCCAGTGTGATCTCGGGCAGGCCGCTCTGGGACAGAAAAGAGAAAAGTGAATGAGCAGGGATCCCCACAGTCCCTCCCTTCCAGCGCCCGTGTCCTGTGATTAAGCCCTTGCCTTCCTCTCCCCCATAGTCAGAGCAGGCTCCTGACCTCAGCTTCAGCTCAGGAGTACGGCAGAAGGGGCGGACGAGGAAGCACTGGGACAGGGATCCTGGCACTGCCCCCTGCTCCCGTGTAACCTTGAGCGAGTCCTCAACCTCTCAGCCTTTCTTCCCATCTCTCAAATGCCCTGCCTCCTTCAGAGGGACATCAGAGACCCCGTGGGATGATGTGTGTGTAAAGTGCTGGGATGAAACCAGCTTGTGCGAAAGTGGGGGCCATCGGGCAGCGTGCAGAGAAGTAACGAAGGCCGTGCATCTGCTAACTGGCCCGGACTGGCCCTTCAGGAGCCTGCACTTGTCACTAACCGTGGTGGTAGTCCCACCAGCAGCAGCCACCACCCCACTGAGGTCACTCAGAGATGGTCTGGTCAAACCCTCATGCTCCACTTGAGCACCAAGGTCAGAAAGGAGGCTTGGCAGCAGGGCAGCTGAGGCAGGTCCCAGGCCCCAGCTGAGCAGGTCCAGTTCCACCAGTGGCCGTGGAAACGCAGACCCACAGCACAGACACCAGCAGACCCCCAGAGCTCTGCAGAGGCCAAGGCGCAGACAGTCCCACATCCTTTCTTCTTGATTCAGCTGGTGCGTTCGGCTGAAATGGTGGGGCCTTTGCAGCAGCCGCAGAGTTGCCATCCTAAGCCTGTTTGGTTTAGACTAATATTAAAATGAACGTTCTTTCTCTGAGTGGATGCCCCACTACACTGGAGAGCAAAGAAGGTCCAGATTCACCTAGGGGAAGCCAGGGCAGGTCTCGTGCATAATTTAGAGGTGGGCTCCCCCTGTGTGGCTTCCATGCCTTGGGACCCCTGGGTTTGGCAACCAGAGGGGGGAGCCTGAACTTCCAGCCTGGGTTAGGCTCCCTCAAACTTTTGCTTCTAGGGTCTCAACTGGTGACACTATGTCCTAGCTTTGTCCCAGGAGGCTAGAGTGGCCTTACCTTACCCTGACTCCTGACTGTGAGCCAAACTCTGAAGATCTAGGAAACATCTGACCTACTCCTACTACCTTGCTTCACTCAAACCAGGAGAATCAGAGCCGGCAGGGGCATCTTGAGCCCCTGAAGGAAGGCGTGGAGAGAGGCAGCAAAGAGCTCGGAGCTAGAGAGACCCTCACTGAAATCCTGACTCTACCAATAAATGCTGTGTGGTGCTGGGAAATGACCCTAACTCTCTAACCTCCGTTCCCTGATCCTGCGAGTTAATAACGGTACCTGCCCCCTGAAGTCATGGTCAGGATTCATGGGAGGGTCACAGGAAGCTCTACTCGCGAACAAGTGGGGCCTCATTGGACTTACTGCCACCACTTCAGGGCCAGCCAGCGGCAGTCTTGCTGCCTGCAGAAGAAAGCTGCAGGCCAAGGGGGAGCGCCTCCTGCTGGGAGAGTTTGGGAAAGCGTTGAAATCTGTGCTCCCTGAGGAGCTAAAAACACCGGACTCACTCCCATCACCCAAGACAGCAGAGGAGCAACAGAATTTGGAGGCAGCAGGCAAAAGACAAAACAAAACAAAACAAAACATCAACCTCTCTATGGGTATTTCAACCCCAGATAAAAGGGCCCAATTCTAGAACCGCACTTGAGAGTCACCAGCTCACCAAATGTTCCCAGTTACCCTGGGGAGTCAGGGTTACCAGCTCGCTGTACAGATGAGGAGACTGGGCCCAGAAAGGGCAAGCAATTGACCTAAAGCCACATACTCGGGGGCAGAGCCCGCACTCGGGTCTCCATACTCCAGACCCAGTGTGTCTCTTCCATTGTCACAGGCACTGTGCCAGCCCCTGGGGGTCAGAGGCTAGGGGCAGTTCTAAATTTTCCCACACACTATCTCGTAATTCCCCGGCCGTCTTTAGGTGTGGCACTGGTTTTATTATCTCAGTTTTACAGATGAGACCACGGAGGCTTAGGACTAAGAACTAGGCCCAGAACCACATCTGCCTGTCTCCAAGTCCAGTACATTTTCAGGAAAACCCAGCCCCAGGCTGCTGGCTGCGTGGTCCTCAGCCCTCTCTGCCCTTCCCTGCCCTTGCCTTCCAGTCAAGGTGATCCTGGGCAAATACTACTTCCTCTGCGGGCAGCCCCTCCACTTCATCCCCAGGAGGCAGGTGTGCGACGGCCAGGAGGACTGTGCCTCGGGGGAGGACGAGCATCTCTGCGTCAAGAACTTCCCCAGTGGACCTCCAGTGCCAGGTGAGTCCGGGGCTGCTGGACCAGGTAAGGGGGCTCACCAGGAAGTCAGCCGGGGTTCCAGGACCAGGTAAGGGGGCTCACCAGGAAGTCAGCCGGGGTTCCAGGACCAGGTAAGGGGGCTCACCAGGAAGTCAGCCGGGGTTCCAGTGCCAGGTAAGGGGGCTCACCAGGAAGTCAGCCAGGGTTCTAGTGCCAGGTAAGGGGGCTCACCAGGAAGTCAGCCGGGGTTCCAGTGCCAGGTAAGGGGGTTCACCAGGAAGTCAGCCGGGGTTCCAGGACCAGGTAAGGGGGCTCACCAGGAAGTCAGCTGGGGTTCCAGGACCAGGTAAGGGGGCTCACCAGGAAGTCAGCCGGGGTTCCAGGACCAGGTAAGGGGGCTCACCAGGAAGTCAGCTGGGGTTCCAGGACCAGGTAAGGGGGCTCACCAGGAAGTCAGCCGGGGTTCCAGGACCAGGTAAGGGGGCTCACCAGGAAGTCAGCCGGGGTTCCACTGGCCCAGAGGCAGCACCCGCCACCTGTCAGTGTCCACCCCTCTTAGAAGGTTCTTGACAATAGGACCACATCTTGTCTACTAGATCCCAGGACTTAATATGTAGCAAACACTCCGTAATATGCAGACCAAAGGGAACAGGAAGCTGTGCCTGAGCCTCCCTGCCCGTTTCTGCTGTGCTTGGGTGGAACGGAGGCAGGGCGTCGGATTAGAAGACCGTGGGAGCCCCCTCCTTTCTGTTATTTCAGGAGGACTAGAGAAGGCTGTGGGCCACTAGTCCTTCTATTCATTGTAACGTGCTATGTAACAAGACTGAGCTGGGTCCTTCAAAGGAATAGGAGACATTTTGAATATAAAAGTCCATGTTCTTTCTTGGACTAGACTAGCCCCACCTGGCCCACCTCATACCTGGGCTCTGAGGAGAAAAGGTAGCCAGGATATGCTGACGGGGGCTCTTGAGGAGCAGGGTTGAGTGACTTTCCATATATTTGGGTTGGTTTTTTTAATCAGAAGTCAAATGCTATGGGCACCTGCCACTCTGCTGCCAACAGTACTCCTCACTCGAGCTCCCCTGTAACTTCACGTGGAGGAGTGAGGCCCTCCCCGAGAAGTTCCCCAAGCTGTGCAGGCTGTGGGAGCCATGGCTGGGGCCATGCCACATGCCATCACAGCCGATACCAATGAGAGCAAAAGGAGGGGCTATTTTTTTTAAAAATATATCTTTATTGATTTCAGAAAGAGGAAGGGAGAGGGAGAGAGAGAGAGAAACATCAATGATGAGAGAGTCATTGATCGGCTGCCTCCTGCATGCCCCCGGCTGGGGATTGAGCCCGCAGCCCAGTCATGTGCCCTGACCGGGAATTGAACCATGATCTCCTGGATCCTAGGTCGATGCTCAGCTGCTGAGCCACACCCAGCAGGGCAAAAGGAGGTGCTATTAATAATCATGCCAGGGCAACGGTCAAAATGGAGTTGGCCCCAGGACATTTGATCACTCTAGCTTCTGTCCTCTCAAGGCCCAATCAAGCAAAGCCAAGTGGAGGAGCTTCCTTGAGGTGGAAGGGCTGCTGTGTTCTGAGAGGCGCCC